TCTTATCGTTTGTCATTAAGAAAGTTCAATAACCATAAATTGTAATTTAGCAATGTTTATGTAGCCATAAATAAATATATAAACAAGATGAATTCCAGTTAAAAACAATAAAATAATCATTTTCAAGCCATTATCTATGAAGTATGATTCCATAGCTAGTTGAAATGATGAAATATCACCATTACCAAGTGACCATTATAAGTCTCAATGGCCAGATAGAAGATACTAAACCAAATACATAAACTATTTTTCTTGATTTCCCAGAAGAAAATAAAGATTGGACAGTTTGGTTTAAAGTCAGTAGAGAATGAAACCAATTCAAAATATGAATTATTCTTAATAATGAAGGGACTCTTACAAATTGATGTTTTAACCTCTGCTCAAAGAGTGGTATCTCTATGGCTTAAAAATATTGATATTATATGACATTTCATTTCAAAAAGAAATCAAGGCCAGTAGAAGTACCACTTCTTCTTATAGTCAAATGTTTCATTGTTAAAAAAAGCAATTATGCAAATCAAACTTTGTCTTCGTCTTCTATGTGGAGTAGTGCACTTAGACATATTGTAATAACCTCAATATTAGAAGACAAAGAGAATTAATCATGATTCTCTCATGGAAGTGATAGATCCCATTCAATGAGATAATCCAAGCATAAAGCAAAATATGAGGCTGAAAGTATAGATCTTGAGAAATATTTGCATGTTGAGATGTATTAACCAAGGAAGCCAGCAAAAAGGAAATTTTGGTCAAAATAACATGCAAAAAATAACCAACCCTTTAGCTTCTCACTAATGGTAGTACAAAGCAAAATCAGACTAAGTGGAACACTTTTGGTATCTCTAAAAAGTGTTCTCCTTGCGAGGTGTTCCATTTATAGAGGTCCATTAACGTTAGGTCAGTTGGTCTCAAGACTCTGAGGTGTTCTACTAACATAGGTGTTCAACTTTACTGGTTTCACTGTACCAACAAGACATGTCTTGCAGGATATTCTGAGAGACAAAAATATAACCAAAACTGACTGAATAATGAAAAGGCAACCAAAAAGAGTTAAAACTAGACATAAGGAGCTGATGACCATCTTACGTCAATAAAACTCAAAACCAATAGTTATAACCCCAAAAACTGAGAGCAATGAAAAACATATCCTATACGATTCCCAGTAAGAATGTGAGAATATTCCTTGCTAATTCCTCATTTTCCATTCCAAAACAACCAGGAAACATTTGTCAATGTGAAATGCTAAAACATGACTTCCACATCAAGAATTATTAGCCCGTCTGGGAGAAAAGAATATTGATTCTCTGTCAGACTGATGATAAAATAGTAGGATTCTTTATGGTTTTTGGCACACACGAGTATCCATCAGATCAATGAAGCTCTTTTCAATAAGGCAATAATCCCAACCAGAAATTCAACAATTTCGAGGTAATATTGGTACACAGTTTGATGTGCACCATTAATCATTCGACTTTGTCTCCTTAAAAGATAGCTTCATCAACATTGTATCAGCATTACAACTATTCAATTGGCCATTCTAGGCAGAGCATAGCAGTCATTTTTAGCCTCTCAGGCTCAGGGTATTGTATATGTACTGTAGCAGAGAAGTGAGATGCCACTAAGTCTCCAATGAAAATGAACTACAACCTGCATAACACCTAACTATTATGAACACCCAATTCTAACTGTTCTCAGTGATAACACAAGATACATTTTGGTCAAGCGCATTTTGGTCCTGCTTATAGAATCCCTACAAAACTAAAATATACTTCTCCCTTTAATAACATGGACAAGAGGTACCTTGTTACACCCACACAAAAATTAGTCTAGTTAATCACATACCAGATACTGCATAGAGATGTTTAAATGCCAACCTTGGCACTTCTGTAGCATGTCATATAAGAAATATAGTATGTAATAAAAGAAATATTAACTGGAGTCAGAAAATGCCAAATGCCAAATGCAATTTATATATTACCATGGTGATCCAAAGAGACATTTGAGATACAGCCAAATGAACGTTTAATGACATGATATTACCATGTTCAGACGTTTTCATAATGTACATGTATCATCAAAATTGAACTAAAACCTCTATGATTCCGTACCCTGCGTGCAGAGTCTAGTTAAAGACGAAGCTCTCTTTTAAGAAGTGAAGTCAAATGAATGCAAAGGGTAATGATTCCGGAACTTCTGACTTGAAAAACTTTTGTCCGTATATTTTCATATCCTCTTTTTCTTGATTTCAATGAGACAATCCAAGTGTAAAGCAAAAGATGAGGCTGAAAATATAGATATGATGAATATATTGCTTTTTCTAACTCTAGTATATTTGAAATGACAAACAAGCTCAATGTGAACTTATTGCTCCATTGGGATGAATGATTTGTATGTCTGGCTTTGGAACTATAGGTTTACACAAATTCTAACAGTCAGTAATCCCATTTTGGAAGGCCCTGTGTGTTATGCAAGAAATTGCTAGCATTTTATTGTCTGAGTTTTCTCTGACTCTGACAAATTGAGATGAAAATCATGGAGATCTAAATAATTCCATTCAACAATATGGTTCTTGCATGATACAGACCACTGAAATTCAGTTTAACTTCTACACTACAAAGAGAAGGCGAAGAAGCATATACCAGCTTGATAAGAGACAGAAAGGTGAAATAAAGGACCAAAAATAAATTTTGACAGTACAAGCTTGAAAAATGCTGACACCCAAATTGTTTTCAATAGATGGCCCCATTGCGGTATCAAGAGCCTCTCTCGAGCAGTAACTGCTGAAAGCATAAGATAAAGAGCAACTCTGGTAAATCAGATATCTAGAGATGGCCCAGTTCAACTCAAAAATGTAGTGCCACTAGCGCAAGCTGGTCCTACATGTACTTGGTGATCATTATGAGTGAAAGTAATTATACAGGAGCTCATTATTCAAATTGCTGGAAGCCTTTGACCTTTATCCTAATTTTGAACTTATATGTGATTATTTCACATCTTGGGGGTGTGTAAACTTTCAAACAAATACATATCTGTATGTACTGTCCATATCATTATTTTACATCTAGGGGGTGTATCTTCTCTAATGGTTATCTCATAAAAACCTTTGCAATAAAAACATATTTGTACGCAGTCAGCATATACCATCATTTAACATCGAGGGACATGAATTCTCTTACAACAATCTAACTTACACTAATTTTTGCATCTAAAAACACAGAACCACCATACACCATTGCAGAGATCTATAAATGAAGCCAGGTGATTACTCAAAGTCACATAGTTATAACCCAATTGAGATGTAAGCTTTTACACGACATGGATATTATCTCCCAGAAGCATTTTTAAATAGAAAATCCAAAGATGAAAAATGGATATTTGAGAAATTATAACGCATGAGAGTGATTATCGGAAAATTGAGTTTCATTTGTAAACACAGTGGATCTTAGTTGCATTTATCTTGTTCATATTGGAAACATAATGAAGCAACCGGACTGAAATCTAAAGAGAATTACATGGAGGCCTTTATCCCATGATAGTTCCTGATGAATAACACTGGGAATATATGTGATATTGAGAAAGTATCAACAGTCATAAATAATAAGATACATTCTGTATGGCTCCTGTGATGGCCAATTCTGGACTTCTGAAAACACATTCAATATATGTAATATTTTAAACAACATTCAATTTATACAAGCAATATTATAAGATAATAAGGACACATTAAGTTATAAATCCTATGCATCACCAACTTAAATAATATTTGATTTAATATTTTCTCATACAGTAAAACGTGTATGCTGGAACACCTCCCTTACAAAACACTGAAGTCCAGTTTCCCACTGATTTGCTGGAATTACACCATGCGTTTTAGAAAGGCGCCTAAGGTTTTAACCCAGTTTAAAAAATAGGTGTAATCAGGATGGTGATTTTGTAAAGCACTTTCCACTAAAGAGCGTTTAGTGTTTTTTCTGGAGTAATTCCATCAATTAATGTAAAATGACCTCTATGAGTTAAACACTAAAGTAGAATACAAAGAAATATTGAATAAATATTTTGAGGTACCAAATGTGTCCCACACTAACAGGTACTACTGTAATTATTCAAATGTTAGAATGTTGATTCAGTTAACTTCTCATAGATGGAAGTCTCAAATAACCTATTAACAATTATGACTTAAGGATATGAACTGATATCGTCAGATATTAATATAACAATGACATGGTTGATGTTATGCAACACATGCTCCTCACAATTTTAAGATTTATTGGATACATGTATAATAAAACAGTAGCAAGTCTGATCTCTAACCGATCATGCAAGAAAACATGCAGGGTTTAAAATATACATTGACCAATCACCTCACAATATGCATTCGCTGGTTTGAAGCTAGAAAAATTCTACGATGAAATTAATTAAATAAACCCTATGAACTGCAGTTCATCTTTCATATCAAAAGGCAACATAATTTCTTCCATTGATTCAAAATTATAGTTCCCTTTCCTATACAATTGCTGGAGAAGAGACATGAAAAAATAGGAAGTTTGATGCAAGGTTGATTTCTTCCATTCTTCAACTTTGATTAAACACAAGAGAGTGCTATGCTACGATGTTCCTGCTTGCCTTTTAACTCACTCGGTCAGTTTGTCATGTTGGTACCAACCTTTACATTCTTCGATGGTTTGAACACCACTATAGCCAGAGCGGTCGACCTTTAAGCGCTACCTGCTGTACGCACTACTCTGCCCTTGTTGGTAAAGGAATGGTGAACAAACCCTCGGTGAATGTATTAGCAATTGTCAAATAAGTCATTGGTTAATGTTGTCTCTCTCTTTAATAAGGTTATACATTGAGAGATATGTTGCCCTTTGTTATATACAGATGAACATGGTCTAAAAGTAAGGCACGATATACTCATACGCCTACAACATTCTTGCATAACCGCGCTATGATCACATTTGCCATATTCATTGAAAAGACGACAGAAAAGGTGTACTAACACTTACTGTTTGCTGCTCCACTGCAGCTCCTCCATTGGGCACTGGCTGTAGCTGGGGACTATATGTAGGCGGATGATCTGGCTTGAGTGGGGGTTGTTGTGAGGGATCTGTAGTTACGACTGTAGGGGCACCGGGATTCTGTTGTTGCTGCTGCTGCTGTTGCTGTTGTTGCTGCTGTTGTTGTTGTACTGCTTGTTGAACCTGCTGTTGTTGATATTCTTCTAAGGTTGCCGGAGGGGCTGTCTGTGCAAACTGTGGGTAGGTGGGAGCCATTTGATTCTGAACCATGTGCTGAAAATACAGAGAATTCAAACATTAAATAATGTAATTAGCACAGATTTTTGACGAACCACACTTGTGTTAGTAAAGATGACATATGATAGTTCAAAATTTAATCAAATAGTATTGACTTCACTTGACAAGTTATTTTTTATATTTACAGCATCAGAACATATGAATTTGATCCCTGAAATATCCTTTGATCACATAAAATGAAGAACTGAATTCATTACTGAGACTATTTCATTTTCTTTCTACCTACTCTACTGTGCCGCACAAGCAGACAAAGACAATGCACTCCACAAGTACTTTAAGTACATACTGTACTAGACTCCTTTGCTGAACTAGACTGTATTTCTTTTTTAAACATGAGTACATAGCAGAATTGTCTGCATCAATAATTCTTGAATATTCACCAAATATGAATAACTATCATACACAGTTTGAATAATAACATATAAATCTGATCTGAATTCAAAACAGAGCTATTCTATGCTATTCTGTGTACCTGTAATATAACATAGTTATTCTGGTCAGGCCCAATTAGGTTCATCTCAAATAACTGTCAATGTGAATTCCAGATATTTCGAATCAAGTAATATCTAACTATTTAACAAATCACGATTGAGAGACAGTGCTAATCCCAAAAGTCTCCTGCTAGAATTTTAATCCATGAATTAACGAGCCTTTCTCACTCTTATACACTCCTTGTTCATTATTCTATGATAAAATGCACAACTATGAATGTATATTATATACGTCTATGTTCTGATACATTTGTTTGTGACACCACATGCCAAACTAAACTATAACCGAAATATAATTATTTTTTCAATATAGCCTCGATGCATTAAATCTATCTATCAGAGCCTAGTTTATAATGGCCTAATTATAGCAATTTTCTCCAGAATTGCTATAACTTAACATGCCATGGCCTAATAACGTGTATATTATTGATAGTGAAGATATAGTATGATTTTTAATACAAAAGTGAAACCCTAACACAGCTGGTACCAGTTTTCAATGTGTATGATTATTGAATAGCAAATCTGCTCTCCTCAAGTACAAATCCATATGTATATAGATGAACCAATAACAAGAATCAGAGACACATTTGTACTTTAACATGGTTCAGGTTGAAGTACTGCCTATATAATCCCCCTCATTTTCCAATCTATATAGAGAAATAGAGAGAGAGGAGGTATATAAAGACTTGAATAATCAAGATGAAATATACCATGAAAGCCAGTAATATAGACAAACCTATTTAGAATCAAACTAATGAAAAATATACATGAACTATTGATGAGGAACCCAACTATATCAATTGCTGAATCATCAAGTTACAAATAGTATATCCGTTTCCTTTTCAATAAAGGCTCTGATATATCAGGTTGTATTACTACTACAGGTTGTGAAGGCATAATATACTCTTCCATATAATATTCTTAACAATGTGATTTTCTGGCAATAGAAGCAAATCATGAATCATAAAAAATGAGTAAATTATGCATGAAGTACAATAAAGAATATACGTTATAGTTCAATATATAACCTGTATGGTTGCATCTGCCAGTTCCATTTTTCCAGATCGGCTTTGTACCATCAGCATTAGAATTCTTTTATGTAAATCTCAATGAGCTATAAGCTAACCCAACTGCTGGTATATAGTATTATATATTATATCTTGTGATTTTTCTAATATGTTCCCTGAAGTTAATCTCTAAAAAATTCTTAAATTCAAAATTCTTCAAATCAAATTTTCACTAAGACGACTAAATATTTCGTGTATCATCTATTTTTGCAATTTTTTGTAACTGTTGTATAATTTCTCCATTTCTTTCCATTAGCCACTGTACATTAGCCACTGTCTAATTTACATTGAAATGATGTTACTCTCTGAAAATCTCTAATGAAAATGAACACTGAGTTATTCTATGTGTCTCTTATCAAAACATCTCTCCTATATTTCCTCCCTAAACAGATGTCCTGCCATTTATAATCCCATGCTAAAAACGTCCCGTATATAACTGCCAATTGCAGGATCTCCTACGAAATCAGATATTAAGTATCTATTTTGCCTATTTTTTGTGTTTCTCCATGTGTAAAAACTGAATTCTTCAGTGATTCAACTTTTATGTCTGCATTTTCCTGAAACAACGTGTGACAGCCTTGCTTTAGTAAAGAATGTCTCAATAAGTGGGTGATATACATTCATTGAGAGAGAAGTGAATAATGCACCATTACTTGCTACATGAAATTATGTAGGCACCCTAAGGACCATTCCCTCAAGACTAACAGCCCCATCTCCATACTAATCAAGGCATATGTTATTGTGAACAATACAGCCCCTACAAAATTCACCAATCAATCAAGACTATATTACAGATCAAGGATTTCATGTTTTCCAATTTTCTCAAAAATCTGATTTCTTATCAGGGTACATTTTATGCATTGTGGTATGATAATTTTATACATTTATTTAAGAAAAATGCATGAATTTATAATAGGGTATATCTAATGAGATTTCATATTGCAAATATTTAAGCTATTTTATAATTCCATAGAGAATGTCATAATAGAATAAACATATGCAAATATGTAATGGATGGAAGAAAATTTAGTATTAATCTCATTTTCAGGCTTCATCAAATAGAAACAAAAATATGAACTTTGTAAAGTAAATAATAAATGATGTTTTCATATCCATTTAATATATCGCTAATGGACTGCAATAGATGATAAGGATTAGAATATATTTAAATTCATTGTTGATTAGAAAACAACTTAGCACCCAGACATAATGTTTTCATATGTATTTCCTGATTGGTAGCTTGATTGCACTTTACTGAGACAATGCCGGAGTTCAATCAATTGACCAGGAACTCTGATAGACCCCTACTTCCTTGAAAGCATTGTTTGTTTGTTTGTTTAATTACTAATTGATCTTCTAGAGACATTGAGTTGTAAAATATTTGGATTACATATTTTCATTTCGTCATCAAAGGAACCCTGAGTATCAGATCATAGAATATTACACAGATGAAGCTCTCTTTTAAGAAACAAAATCAAACTATTGAAAGGGTAATAAATCCATCAATATAGATCTATAAGTCAATGAGAGAAAATCTACTTGATAAACAAATCCAGACTCTCAATATAATCTGTAATTCCTTCAAGGATTTATCCAAAAAGACAATAGAGTGCATCTGGTCTACATAAACCATGTAGTTCCTCAACATGTTAATCAGCAGGGATTAATTAAAGCTCATGCTGTGTGGCACTCATTAATATAATGTTTTCATTTCAGTGAACAGGCCATCTGGACTTTCCAGACAACTCCTCAATATGAAACAGCAATATTGAAGTGTTTTTGAATTATAATTTGAGGACATTGTTGCTCTACAATAATACCCCCCCCCATTCACCCAACATACTGATTGACTTCATATTTCTAAACAACAGATTTGTCCATGTATCCAGATTTACTTGGATCTCTGAATATAGTATACAACCCAGGGTATACAAGATCATTTCATAAATTCTGCAATTCCATAATTTTTGTGGGATATTGCAGCTATTTCATCAATTAAAACCATGTGTCTTACAATCGAGACAATCTACTATTGTTATATTAGAAACGAGGTGAGACTTAATCAGTCTACTGTTAACCTAGCTAGTCAAAATATATCAAATAGAACAATGCATAAAGCTATAAAATAAACCAAACTAGGGTTAAAACGAAACCACAGAATACAATATGTCATTTATTCCTCGTATACATTAAGTTTTATGAATGAACTAAACAGAGAGATAAACCTAACAGAGAGATGGACCAAAGTTTAAATGCAATGTCAGAAAATGCCTTAGAGCAAATGTACTCAGAGTCCAAAAGGTAAAATAGATATAATCAACAGTTTATTTATGTCACCAAATTTCCATATTGGCAAGTATCTTATGACCTCCTCAGCCCTTGAGGCTAGTTGTATATGAAATTCCTTTTTAAGACATTAAATCAAATTGAATAGGATGTGATTCTCAGAGTTGTATGCTGACTACCTATTTATTATATTTTGGATTTAAAGAATTTACTAATACAGAGGTTGGTCGTTTTTCTTGAGTAAGATCAGAAGACACAGAAGGCAATACACTTTTCATTAGCTTGATTTCCGTTCTTTGAAAGAGAGCTTCATCTCTGGAGGTACCAGCTTTTGGGGTAGCAATAGAGAAATCCATTAATAGGAGCATATCATGGATAACATAAGGGAATAATCAAGAGGGCTAACTTTATAAGTAGATGGAAAAGGATGTCTAAAATGAGAAACATTTCAAACTGTCACAAATATTCAAGCTGACATTGATGTCTTTCAGTGATGACATCTAACATCAACAAAAGATGTAAACATTTGAGTTTTAACAAAACATATCAATTGCAGAAATAGTTAATAAAGCTCATTTAAATATCACCTTGGGGCAATATTACAATATTAGTTTGGATGATGAATTTAGATACCATATGAACATGTTTCATTATTATTAACCCTAATACATGTACAGACATCATGTTGATGGTTAGTATAACAGGATGCTGTTTTTGAAGAAACAAGGTCAACATGGAGAATATATCAATAGGGTATCCCACTGTGTTTTCCCTGCATAATGCACTGGCTGGCTCAGTATTAACAAAAGTACATGTAATAATGGTCACACATGGTGACAGATGTGAAACCACTCAAAGCAAAACCTATCCATACAAAACCATCATTTCTGGTTTTAACACATATTCCGTGCCATTCCTCTGCTATTATCATAAAAACTTGATCACTAATGAAATATATTAATAATATAGAGTACTAACAGTGCGCCTGTTGGATCGGTTTCATTTTCCTTCTACTACATTTACTATTTTAAACATTAGCTATGTGATATTTAATTTATGAGCAAGATGCTCTCAACCATTTAATATCCTTTTTATGTTTAACTGGATGCTTAACATAAACACTAACCAATATTACTGTATAAACCCTACATATATTCTTTCTATCTTTTCCATATAGTCTGTGTAACCCTGTATAGGGAATAACAACCAGAACAACGGCAACGCCAAAGCGTAGCGAATCCCATCGAACAGAAATGGCTGGCATTTTTACAAACGAAGCGCAAATATCATAAAACAACACACCAGAAAGGCCACCGTTTTCAAAATGGTTACTCACTAGTCAAGTTGTCATCAGAAGAAATAATATGCTTTTAAGTAGCCACCTCTAAAATTTTTTGAAAAATCGCACACATACTTGTAAAATAACACACGTAAAAATGGTGGCCATTTTTCAAAATGGCCGACTACTCCCCAAAGTTTTATTAGACAATGTGCCATGCTTAAAGTATTCACATATCAAATATGAACAAAATCGCTCCACTACTTTTCGAGTTATAGTAAAATACGTTAAAATGGCGGCCATTTTTCAAAATGGCCACTTTCTACTAAAAGCGTCATTAGAAATAGACGGTGTTCCATGCTTATAGTATTCACATACCAAATATGAACAAAATCGCTCCACTTCTTTTCGAGTATTAGTAAAATACGTTAAAATGGCGGCCATTTTTCAAAATTGTTTTCAAAATGGCCGCCTTCTATCAAAAGTGTCATAGGACAGTGTGCCATGCTTATAGTATTCACGTACCAAATATGAACAAAATCGCTCCACTACTTTTCGAGTTATAGTAAAATACATTAAAATGGCAGCCATTTTTCAAAATTGTTTTCAAAATGGCCGCCTTCTACCAAAAGTGTCATAGGACAGTGTGCCATGCTTATAGTATTCATATACCAAATATGAACAAAATCGCTCCACTACTTTTCGAGTTATAGTAAAATATGTTAAAATGGCGGCCATTTTTCAAAATGGCCGCCTTCTACCAAAGGTGTCTTTAGACAGTGTGCAATGCTTATAGTATTCACACACCAAATATGAACAAAATCGCTCCACTATTTTTAGAGTTACAGCAAAAATCGTAAAATGACGAGTAAAGGCCGCCATTTTTCAAGATGGCTGCCATGTGCTTTTTAATATCTACATTTGTAGCATTTTTAATGTCCTTTATAATTTTTTTTACATTTAAAACATATTGCTATTACAGTTTTACATATTGCACCTAAATTACTGTAAAATCGTCACTAAAATGGCCGCCATTTTGAAATGAGCGGCCATTTTGAAAATCGGCTTTCAAGCAGAACTTCTACCCTCATAGGGTATATGTGTACGAAATATGAACAAAATTGGGCCAACGGTATTTGAGTTATTGCCCGGACGGACGGACGGACAGACGGACGGACGGACAGACGGACGGACGTACGTACGGACGTACGTACGGACGGACGGACGGACGGACGGAGGCGTTCCCTATATCCCTCCGAACTTCGTTCGATGGGATAATAAAATATACCATCAATTGGAATTCCTATCTTTTGTTCTGTCTGTTTACTAAATGTAAGCTGATGATTATGCTAAATAAAGGTTACATATTTACCATTCCGGGCATGATTTGGTGGCCGAGTTGTCCCATTTGTAATGTTTTCATCATCTTGTGTATATCTTAGGTTATCCTTTATTAAACTAGTAGTGTCCTTTTCCTTGAATCTTCTTAATAAACTCCAATATAACTGGAGACACAGGAAATATTATACTGAGCTGTGAAAACCATCATCATGTGAAATATCTTGGGTCAATAGATTGGTTTATTCTATGCTCAAGGGGTGCTAGGTTTCTGAGTCAATATTGGCTTTCTAATTAACCCCTTTAAGTCTATTTATACAAACAATTTATCCATATTGATGTATCAAATATCCTTAGTATACTATAAAGGGGGATTATTGACAAAATTAAAGGTGGATATCTTGTATACATATTTATTTAATGATTTCCATTATGCCTTATGCTACCTAACACCCCTCAGGATGCAGTTACCCTGTATGACTATTTGACTCTTCCATCACATCAGAAGAACAAAGAGTCTTGATTAGGTTTAGATGACTTGCTATCATAGACATTTATATATGAGCTTTTCAATATTACACTGAATATTTCTACATTATTGCTTTGCAAGTTTGAAATACCATTAATAAATGAATGGAGTGAATTGTTATGCAGTAGATCTTACTGGAAGTATTGTTTCTATAATAGATTTGTAGACAGCATGGATTTGTTTACACATGACATGTCAATAAAACCATTCATCAGTTTGTTTACTTGTTATTTCTATTTGATTGTTCAATATTAATTATCTTGATTCCAATCATTATTTAAAAAAACACAGATTTTATAATCAGAATGATCAGGATCAGAATGAATTTTTCAAAATACACTGAGGTAAAAAAGTGAGTTCTTCATATAATACAAGAAGTACATAAATAAATATCCCTCAATATAAACAAAGTTTACATTGAATTTCGTTTTTTATATGTTTGTTAGTATAAATGACATTGTGGGAAGTGCCTTGGGAGTTACAAGGAAATAACTCATTTAGTGAATGTGAAATACAATCTCAAAAAATAAATGAATTAAAAAAATATGAATCATGTATTTATTATTTAAATCAGTGTATAAAAACATAGTTTATGTTAGTTACATTAATAACTTATAGATGGACCAGATGTTACTCGGAATGCCACCTTTATATTAGGAAAAAAAGAAATTCAAAAATTCAAAAACAGCATTTTGTCCCACAATAAGATATTGAGTCAAATCTAGTGTTGTCATAACAACTACAATAATTAACACATTGAAAAGCAATTTTGTCCATTACAAGATTGCGCTAAGTATCCTTTAGCCATGTAGAAATACTTTTGTTCTTTAGTTTGTGACAATTAATGAAAGAAACACGTCCTTCTATCAACAGAATCGGTTTACTGTCACCATGACGATGATTTATGATGACATAATTTAGATTTTTCCTCTATAATCCCTGAGCAATCTGAGCAAATTATCACTAGTCAACTCAAAGTAGGTGGAAAGTCTGACAATATTTGAATAATAGCGACTGGCCATGCAGTTAATTGTATTTTCTCTAAAAAACATGGTAAGGCCAAAGGCGGAATATCAATCATTTTAATCAGATGACATTCTATGAATAATCACATCAATTAATGTTTTAAAATTCTAACTTTTACATGTTACATTTACATATCAAGATATACAACATTCTATCAATAAAAAGTAAAATACTCTTTAGCATAATGAGTCTTAAGATTGTAGGGGTTTCGTGAGAATTTCTAATAAGCAAAACTAATATAACAGAAAAATTATGGTTGAAAAATTCTTCAAGCAACAAGTAATTTCAGTAAAAAAAGCAAAAGGTATTGCCTGTTACATGGAGCTTATTTAACATCTTGTACGAGAACCCCCCATCCCTCACCCATCCATATCTTCTTCCTCAAAGTGGCATCACAATAAATATCTATGATGACAAAAATGCATAAATAAAATATATGAAATAAAATAAAAATATAAATTCCCACCTTCTGCAGCATGTTGTACCAAATCTCAATTCCAAATTATAATCCAAAATGATAATTAATATGTGTTATATATGAACTACAGCGCTGCAATCAAATCACGTGTGTTGACGCTGCATTCTATATCAATATCTGAATATTGTATACGCTTTGTCAAATAATTTAGTCTGATTTTAAAGTGCTACCTAAAATGGATATGAGGCCTGGGGTGTTTCTAAGAAGAGTTTTTATGCTTACTTAACTAGCTGATAGCAGACCACAGATAAGCTACCGTAAAACTTTTTTTATTTTGCAATTTAATTCTAAACAAATATACTCAAGTGATGTAAAATCATTATTTGCTGTAATAAAGATAATTCCACTTCTTAACAGTAAAAATATCAAATCCAATTAAGATAACCGGAAAAAAATAAAAATAATTTTTCCTCATTATTACAAAATATAACCCAAATAAAAATAGAATCAAAACTGACAGATTTACAGTCACAGGCCACTGATCCATAACATGGAACTGATAACAAACTAGAAACTAGGATTATAAACTTAGAATTATCTATGTTGTTCCCTAGCAACTAATTCTTTTTCAGTTCTTAAGATAAGTTTTTCATGGTTCTTTGTTTCTGGTTTTTAGATTACACAGATGCTGGTTTTACTTGTAAATAAAGTAACCCTTTCTAATAGTTTTTAAGAGTGCCTGTACGAGGCCCTGATACTCACAGTAAAATGACATGTGGATAATTAAAGAATAAACGCAAGGAGCACACACATCTTGAACTTGCAACCTTGCGGTTATAGTACCTACACCTAGCTTAAACATGTTTGCGCTCAAAAAAACTAATCTCAATCTTTATAATAGAGTGATAAATTGTGTATATGGTTGAAACTAAAACAGGGCGAACTTTGTCTCAAGTATGAAGAATTTCCTGGAGGGGGGGGGGGATAATGGAAGGCTGGTGCGGTATGAATCACGTAATTATGGGATTTTGTTATTATATCACTTTTGACACAAAAGGTTTTGATGTTGAATGTTGAATTTTTCTTAATCAAAGCATGCAATATTCTATGAATATCACATAACTTTATAATAGCCCTAAATTTCAATTATGTATATGCAATCAAATTGTCAGAGAATACAACTTATACACAATCCAAATTAAGAATTATGTTGCAACAGAGCTAATTAAGATAGAAATTGGAAAGGAAGTGAATTTAATGATAGTAATCATGAATTATCATTTACATCAGGATATTATCATTAATATCTCTTGCGTTAAATTTCTAAAGTGACTTTCTAATCATACTTTCCTCTAATGATTCATTAAGAATGACAGAGACAAAGAACTGAGGTAGCAGCTATTTTTTCAACCTAAATACATTAATATGTAGTGTATATGTGCATATACTTGTTATATGCTTAATTCAAGTTTGAGAGTGAAAGGGAAGAATTTATAAAGGATTGATGTTCCAAACATAAACAGGAAATGCTTATTTTATGTTAGAGACACCTATGTAAGTCAGAAACTAAGAGAAGGGATATCCCAGAATTCAAGGATGAACCACTGGAAGTTGATATTTACATGGACATAGGTCCTTGTATGAATGCTGGGAATTGACCTCCTCTCATTAGAAACTCAGACAGTCTGCCTACACTTCCTGTCAGCTTGACACCGAGGGACTTATTCCATGATACAATCAGATTATCTAGATCTCTAAATTATTGTGCAAATAAGAACATCATTTCCAATTTGGTAATCCACTCTGATGATCAAACCAAAAACTTAGCAAATCAAAATTGTTCATTATGAGATGAAAGTCACCTAATAAAAATATTAAAAGCAATTTCTGAAAGAATGTAACATATACAGGCATGATGAATCATTTTCACTGAGGTGCATTATGTAAGAAAGCGTGAGTGGGGCATATAAGGGAGATGGGGTGACAAGGGTAATATCTTCAGCAGAAAACACAGGCTTGTAACAGCATTGCATAGTGGACTCCCCCTCCTTATTTACTTGACCTTGTGGAGGTGACATTGGGGTATCCACAACCTGCACTATCTCTAAGAATACACAGATTGTCTCACAAGTGAAATATCGGAAAGTGATGGTGAGAGTTGTAAGAAAGGATCATAAGGGCTTGAAACTAGATTAGTCAAAACATAAATATTTTTGAAAGAGTAGGAGAGGCTCCCAGGGTAGACTTCACTTAATTAATGACAAGTGAATCATGATATGCTTCCAAACATATTCATTTGACTACATGTAATGTACACCTCCATAATTCTACCCTTTGCAAAAGTTTCTTATTTTGTCCACCCCTCTTAAAAAAGGTGAACATCAACCAAAATGAGCCAAACTGTTTGGCCACTCCCCTGCAATGAAATATCTTTGAAAAAGGGGAGAATGTTTCTCTGGCAATATATTAACAGAGTTTATAAATATACCATTCTGCAAAATATAGAGATTATTATGAATTAACTGTGTTGTGGCTGTGAGTAGGGATGGTTGCATTGGTTGTGCTTATATTATAATGGTTGTGCCAAGTTTAAAATTTACCATTTCCTGTTATCTGGTGATTATGCTGAATATTTTAACAGATTAGCTAGATTTATAACTGAGAATGTTAAAGTGATTGATTGTGCTTAAGAAATATGCTGAAGATGGCAATGAATGTGCAAAAATGCTAGAGATGTGAATGCTTGATGACTGTATAATAAATTACAAAACAATGATTTACTTACTGAATTAAGTCTGGATGGGAGACAAGCCCAAAGTGCAACCATATCCATCCTTTCTATGTGTTAAATATATATCTATAATTATATCCCCTTTGAATATACTCTAATTCATGCATTCTTCCGCAGCATATTCCTTATTTCAAATTAGCAAGATCAACATTTTGCAATGCTCTTTCCCGAATAAAAAATCGACATCTTCTGCCTAAATGAACTGAATAATAAAGAATCATCAATTTTATAAAGAAATCCCAGATGAAACGAGGAGACTAATATTCATTGATGTACAGCTCCAAATAAGCTTGCTTGTCCTGGTATATCAAACTCAGATCACATAAAACTCTGCTTTCCAAATGAGTTTAATTTCAAGTCAATCAGA